CGCATTCGATAATGCATCATGCTCATTCGGTGGTACATTGGGCTGGTTACATGTAACAGCGAGCGAGCGAGAGAGAGAGAGAGAGAGAGAGAGCGAGCGAGCGAGCCAGCGAGCGAAGGCGACAGAAACACACAGAGGCCAAAGAGCGACTGGTGCTGCAGTGGCACAATCGCTTCTGCATGCCGCAACAACTTCTGCCGGAAATTCCTTTGAACAGACTCCTGCAAGCTGTCTGCTGAGACGGCTGATTCCCAAGTCGGCGGAAGCAGAAGTACCACGATGCCGGCAACACTGAGGTCGGAAGAAAGTGGAGCATAGACTAGCCTTTATCACGAATCTTTGACCGGGTACGATACTGCACAAGGTTTCCAGACTACTCGGCCACCTCCGACAGCATCAAGCTGTCGCTCGCATCAAGCTGTCTCTCGAACTGGAGCTACCACAGGAGGTGTGCTCGAAAGAAGCAGATGGCCGCTTCGCAGAGCAGTCCTTGGGAGACACTCTGAGGCGGCGGCTGCATCGATGATGGGCTGCACACAAGACCTGTATAACGACTCATTGGTCACCTCAGCACATGTCACAGCAAAGCTCCAGCTAGGCCGCAGTGGATGTCTCAGCTGGCCACCGTCTCGTCGAAGGCTTGATCAAAGAGGAAGTTGTGCTCCTTTCAGTCTCCAAAATCAGCTGCAACCAGTCCGGCACGACGCGGCCAGCGTCCTCCACATAGCGCGTGAGATCAACCTTCAGTTTCGGCTCCCGCACTATGACGGCACTTTCCCTGACATCATCCAAGGAAAAGGTACCAGATCTCCCGGCTGCAAAACAAGCGGAGTTCAGCTACCACGGCCTGCACATCACGACATCTTGCTGTGCCGTCTGCACCTAATCAGACTCCATGACATTCACCATCGGCGACATGTGATGCGACGTGTGCAAGAGGTAAGTCATCGGCCTCCCTCTTGTTCATTGGCCGTTTCCGCACCACGACACTGAGTCGCGAGGTCCGAGAAGTTTTCGGCTCAGGAGCCTCAAACAAGATGAGGATAACACGACAATGCACGGACACGAACAAGGTAACACCTAGTGCATGGATCGGAATGCCTGAGGCTCTTACTGCCACAGCACCAGAGGTGCTACTCCGAGCCACATTGACAGCGCGATTGCCAGGAGCGGCAAAAGGAATACTGCACAGGACGATCCAGAAAGCCAAGGTGTTGCTTCAGGATGGAAGGCAGGAAGGCAGGCAGGTCGGCAGGCAGGTAAGTAGGCAGGCACGTAGGGAGGGGGGGACAGTCTAGGTGCTAACACCTGGTGACAAGGCCCATGTCAGTGCCACAACATCCAGAGGTTGCCAGTCGAGCAACCATGGACATCCCCGTTTCGAAGTAAACGAGTGCGGGGAAAAGGGAAACTTGTAGTCTGCAGTCTGGTTTGCACAAGTGCCTGGTACAGCGCCTGTCCTGTGTCACGTGCAAGCACATGACAGCATCCTGCCTAGAGCAACTAGAACCTGCTACAACCGAACCAGGCTCACAGACTGGTCAGAATCACTGCGGGGTGGAGCTGGGCCCACCTGCTAGACCCACAGCTTGCGCCCACAGACGGTCGGCTTGGCTGCGCAGGGCTTTGGAAGCCGTATGCCGTGTTCTGCGATGGCCCCTTGGAAATTTTGCAGTGCATCAACTGTCTCGCTCCACCCGCTACAGCTTCACATTGAAGAGGCGTCTGGCCTGCGATTTTCCACCGGAAGCCACCTCCACAAATGTGAGCTGAGCATGTTCAGAAGGCAAAGCACGCCACTCCCCTACTCCCCGCCGTGACGCTGCCAGAACCAGGAGAGCGTGCCCGAGCTCGTGATGTTTGTCGAGTTCCTCTGTCTAAACATCGTTGGAACGGTCGCTTCGTCCTCAGGCGTGGCCTGTGATGCCGACAACCTGCCGCATCATCCAGAAAACCTCGGAAAGCAGCAATTGAAAAGAAAACAATCGCGAAAGAAGCGCAATCGGACCGCCCGACCTTGCCAAGGCCCTGCTCGAATCCTCAGAGGCAGAGACGCCAAAAAGCCAAAAAGCAAAAAATCCGCGAAGATTGTACTTAGAACCGCGCCATCGTTGCCAGAGTCGTCCGACTTTTCCAGGCTGCTACACGGTAGTTTCCACAACTGGTGCACAGCGCTCTGCATTTGTTTACGATCTGTTGTGCAGTCCCTATTCCAAACCTGAAACATGCTGTTGAATGATGTTCGTAGAGTCGCATGCAGTACCTTGAACACAAATCCAAAATTACGGGGAGTGCCAGCAAGTGGGAGTTGGGTTGCAGCCTGCTGCACTGCCAGTCCATGCGGCCCGTTTGGCAACAAGCACCCAACTGTGTATATTATCCTGTCCCCGTGCTTGGCAAGATCTAGCAACTCGAAAAAGTGAGCAAGACCAACCCAATCCGAGGCCACCGAAATCGTTCAGCCACCTAGCAATTCTGATCAACTTGAAGCACTCCTAGCCGGGACCAGGGCATCTGGAATCATGATTTTGTCTCTGGCCAGGATCGGCACAAATCTTTGGCAAAAATGCAGAATGCTATTTCACAAAACTTCGTCGTACAAGTGATAGCCGAGTAGATTCCGACAACCTGCGACGAAAAAAATGTTATGACTGCTCTGTGAGAACATGAAAAAACATGAAGAGTCCATTTTGCGCATATGCTAGCAATGAAATGAAACAACAAACAGCCGTGCAACGGCGTATTTGTTGTCGCTTGGCTTCGGATCGGAGCTTTTCAGGAGACGGACACGCAAAGATTCGAGGATGCTGTTCACAGGCACCACATCGAAAACAGGGGCAGGCAGCTGCAGTAGCTGGGACAGACAGTTCGCGTGCCGCGGCCTTGCAAGACGATATCCGAACACCACAAAGAATATTAATAGTGGTTGAACAGTTGGAGCGGTTCCTGGTAGGAACAGCACAAAGATCTGTTTCATTTGTTCATGCATTTCAAGCTGGTCACCGTGTGTTGGTTCTGAGAGGCTTCGGCCTTGAACCAGCCCACACTGGCTAACTGATTAATGTACTGTCCTTGAAAACACACTCACTCAACGAATGACCTCGTAAACTGGCCACACAGTTTCTGTGGCTGGCTTCCACAATTCTGACATGCTTGCAAGCATCCAACATGGCTGCATCATCAAGCTTTGAGTCCTGTGCATTAGAATACCTGCACAGCAACAGACTCTGTGTTTTCTGTGAAGAATGTTCTGAAGTAGATTAGCATTACCACAAGAGCTCAACGGACTATCTTTGCATTAATTGGATTTTCCCCGTCTGTTGCAATGAAGTAAGCAACAACTCCTCCTCCGTGCGACTAATGATTAGTGTATATGTCTGACACTAGAGTCGCTACACTAATCGTGTTGAATGTGTATCGGAAAGCGTATCCCTAGTTTTGGAGTGCATCCAAATCGTATATTAGAACCTGTATCTGTATCAATTGTGTATCCCTAGTTTGGGCGAAGCCGTATCGTTATAAAAAGCGCATCGCACATCTTCGATAATGCATAACCTGACTTGGGCCGATGAACAACACCCTGTGCCAGGTCTTCTTCATCCTTTACATCATCGAGCTTCTTCTTTTTTTTAACGAATTGGAAGTTTTAAAATATTTCTAACATCTTCAAAACCCAACGTCCACCAGCAATGACCAATAGCGACGTCGTTCGTCGCCATAGGCCATTAGTGATGGATGGGGTGAATGTGGAAAAAAGAACTGGAGATGCTGTGCACAGCATCTCCAGCAGGTCGCGGACTATTGCAGCAGCAATCTCGCAGCTTTTTGTTGCCTCAACAACATGAGGTGTCGACATGTATCAAGCTGCCACATCCTGTTCGCGCCGCAAGTAAAAGGGACGACATAGACCCAGCCGGGCATCTCTGGAAACTTTCACCGAGAGTGGCTTGCCAGTCCGTTGCCCACCCCGAGCGAAACCTGTGCTCCGCCTTAGTTGATGCACGAAAAATCAGTTAGTCGCCTCCCCCGTTTCTCTGTTACTGTCTGCACACAGTATACAAATTTAATAATAGAGAAAGTAGGCCCGTGGGGGTATTTTTCGCAAGGCCAAAAACCGCGACAAATATCTTCAAAAACGGCCTTTTCGACCTTCCGAGATTTTACGATAGAGTTCTAAGGTGTTCCGTAAGGCCGAAAAACGCGAAATGAATCCTCGAAAACGGTCTTTTGGACTTCCGAGATTTTTCACGAAGCCGAGTTCTTCTGGGTTCGTTTTGCCGCGAAAGAGGCTCTTTTTAACAAGGTCGTAATGACTTTGCAAGGTCGAAATGAATCCGATCTATTTTGCCGTGATTTTTTTCTTTTTTCTTGTTTTCTTTTTTTCTTGTTTTTTTATTTTTTCGTTTTTTTCTTGTTTCTTTTTTTGCTTTTTATTTTTTTCTTTGTTTTTATCTTTTTTCTTTTTTTCTTTTTTTTCTTTTTATCTTTTTTATCTTTTTGTATTTTTTTGTCTTTTTTTTCTTTTTTTCTTTTTTCAATACTGGTTCAATAATGATTCAATAATGACTCAATAATGATTCAATATTGACTCGATAATAAATCAAACATGAAGCAGTAATGTTACAATGATGACTAAAGACTCTGCAAAGATTCCACAAAGACTGCAGTCTTCACCATAAAAGATTCAACAAAGACAGAGTGCTTACTACGCGGTCACTACGCGGTCACTACGGTCACCACGCAGTCACTACGCGGTCACCACGCGGTCACTACGCGGTCACTACGCGGTCACTACGCGGTCACCACGCGGTCACTACGCGGCCACAACGCGGTCACGATGCGGACGCGGTCACAACGCGATCACG